AAAAAAAAAAAAAAAAAAAAAAAAAAAAAAAAAGGAAAGCGACAACAACCAAATACGACGATGTCGGTTGTTTGCATTTTTGCAGCGGTATTCTTAGTATCTTTCTATTTTTTCCTTTTCTTCGTTTGTAAAACTTATTAAAATTATTTCATAGTTTTCCCAACCCGAAAGCTTCTTCTATTTAGAAAATATCAGTAATGCAATCAGCTGTCATTAATAAGTAATAAAGATATTTGAACAAAGTGGAACAACAACAAAAATAAAGAAATACAAAAAAAAAGTGAAATGCTTCTCTACGTTTTCATAGTTTTTCATTCTTCTATGTTTAGTTAGTTGGCTAGTGGTTTTTCCGAAAGAGGAGGAGGGAGGGGAAGCTGAGAAAGCATTTGAGTCATTGTATATTTATGAACATTTCGCAAAACTTGACTGCATTTCGTTTATAATTTTTGATTTTTGAATTATGTACGCTTTATAGAAAAAGATGTTTGGTTCTCGTTTTGGTTTTAACTTTCGTTTTGCTTTTGGTGTCAGTTGTGGCTGAGTTTTTGATAAGTAATGAAGTTGATGTCGATGTTGACGGTGATGTTAATGTTGATGTTGATGTCGGTGTCGACGTTGCTGTTGTTGTTGTTGTGGCTGTTGTCGTGTAGTTATTTTATGCCCTAATATATGTGGACTTTCAGTCCGGAAATTATACTTTTCATCCAACAAAATACCACCCTAACACCCAGAATTAGGTTTCAGAACAATGAGGTAAACTGTGATCACCAATCTGACGTTGGCACTGGGATGGTTTAAGCAATGCTAAATTTTTGTCCTTTTTCTTCTGCTATATGTTTGTTTTTATACCTTTTTCTTTTGTTAAATGACAAAAAGGCGAAAAAAAATTTGCAACTAAGATTTATTTGGCAAATGGAAACTTGAGGTGATCAAATTGATGTTTGAATGTTGTGTCTACGTGAATGCTTAAATGTAAGGTCTATGAATTATGCATGGAATAGGTGAATGAAAGAGTTGCCGTTTGTTACTGTCGTATCTGAGTAGACTGATTAAAAAGAGGAAGGGCTGAAAGGTTGACAACGGCAAGATCAATTCAAATTTAAGGCGAACATCAGACAGGCTCTAGATTACATTCTGTAGAGCAGATGCTGTAAATCCGTGTCTTGCACGGCCAGAAAATTGTGTAGTACATTATGCTTAACATCAGACCTACCAGGTCAGTCAACCGGAATTTGAAAAAGTCAAAGTATTCTGACGCTTTCTATAGCCGATTTTTGGTGCGCTAATCGTCGCCTACGTTGGCTTATTGGGTGTGCTTATGTGCAATTTTGGTTTACTTAGTGGGGACACTGTCATCTTAGATCTGACGATAATTAATCCTGTTATTTTCCTCTTTTTTCTTCTGTTTTTTTTTCGGATGTATAGAACTGACATTGGATATATGTTTGGGTAGACTAATACTTTACTTTGTTTCCCGTTTTCACTTTGCCTCAACCGCGTTTATGCTGTTTGAAAGTATTTTTTTCTAGAATTAATTAAGAGTAGTTTTTCTCATGCAGGTCTTTTGGTAATAGGTTTTTCTTAATTTACTCGGAGGAAGAAAGTGTTCTGTAAATGGTAAATACTGCCGCTTAAGCGGAAACGACATTAGGTGGTATGACTAAGGCGTAGATGTGTGAAGGTAGAAAGGTCTAAATATGGACGAAAAATAGAAGAGTGGTTAGAATTATAGAAACTGTTGGATGATAGTTTGTTGCGATACGGCAGACGCATACGACAGAGACTGACAAATTTTGGATCGATCAAGCAATCTCTTCTCCAAAGTTTTAATTTTACAGCCTTTTCTTTTTTTTTGTCTACCTATTGTTTATTTAATAAGTGCAAAAAACTTTATCTCTACCTATTGTTTATTTAATATTTGAGCAGATATACGTGTTATATATAATCGTTGTCATAATAATGCACTGAGTCTGTCTTAAGGCGGTTCAGTGTTATTGATAAACCCAAAAGTTGCTGGAAGAGAGACAGTCTCGTTGTTGACTGGCATAAAGTTTATAAGGAGAAAGTTTGGATATATCAAAAAATTTAACACCTTTTTTTGCATAGCATTGCATAGCATTTTTTATTTCTTAATCTTTTTTTAGTCGACATACATTTTGCTGTATGTAAATTACCCTCGTTTTTTTTTTTTTTTTTTTTTTTTTTTTAAAATAAATGACTGCTAATTACTAACTCAGTCTGAAATCCTCGAGAATTTGTTGATAAGTTCTAATCTTCAAAAAAAAAAAAAAAAAATTTTTTTTTTTTGACATATTAAACTGCTAAAGCAATTTTGTTCCATTTTTAGTTTCTGCTCTTAAACTTTAAACTAGGGCGTAAGTTATAGCCGATTTTTTTTTTTTCTTTTGCTGCTTTTAAAATTATGTTTATGCAACGATTAATGAAAGAAGAGAGTAACAGTAAAAAATGTTAGAAATTTATTTTGCTAAACTTGTAGGTTTTCTGTTGACCTATTTATTTGAAGCTAATGTAGCAAAAAATATATATATATATATAAAAGTGGTTATTGTGTTAGCACAATTTTAAATTATAAATTTCCATAAACTATAAAATTTATATTCTAAAATTGGCTGGGTTTTCTCTTTTTATTTTTTGCAGAACTATAGCTGTCTAAGGATGACCTTAGTTGGTCCCGTTTTGTAAATCTAAAACTCTATTGGTCTAGACAATTAGCGTATAGATCTATTCTTACACGTTTTAAGCATTTCTAAGATTTAAAGAAACACGAGAAGAATGGAAAATGAAAATGAAAATTAAACAGCAGCAATAAAGGAAGAATAATGCTGAAAGACTGTTGTGTTTATCTTTTGTTATTATTACTTTATTGGT